ACCTCTCAGCACTTGCATTTACATTTGTGTGGGCATAACTCAAATGACCATTTGACCAGCTCAGGGCCACTGAACTGCTGTTTCTCTCAGCATGAAATGTTTTTCTTGGGACACGGGGGGAGGGACGGACACCCCAATACCCTCCCCATCCCAAATACACATTGCCTTGTCCACCCAGCTACGCTGGTATGCCCTGTGCCAGGGCTTGCCTTGCCTTGCCCAACAGAGCCCCAGACCTGCCTCTGTCTGACACAGCTTACCACGGGTGGGCTCTACGGGGCTGCAGGGTAAGGCAGAGGCAGCCTGTTCTGTTTGTATATTTACAGGGCATGAAAGCCAAACTGGGAAAGGACTTTGGTACAGTGCAGCCAAGTAACTATAAAGTACTGCTTTAAAAAGCCACAAGGTCACCTTTACTGACATTTGGATAAGGATTTTTTGGAAGTCACAGGACTGGGAGATGGGCTTGTTGTGCCTACGATCACAGGAGAGGGATTTATGTGCTGGTCAAGAAGGCTGCATTGTTTTGATTCTTTCATATTCATAAATGCTCATTTATTAGCCTCTTGGATAAAAGAGGCTGATTGGGATTTCTCTTCTCACTCAACTGTAGTTCCAGGTGGCTTCCTTGACTCTGCCCAGCACACCTTCATGAAATTTAACAGCCCCCTACTTAACAGTACTCTCCAGGTGCCATGTCCTTGCACAGTCTGTCTTCTCACTTGGTTAGACCTTAAGAAAACCTGGTTTCACAGCCATACTTCATTTAAGCACAATGTGAGAACTAATATATATCATCCTCTCAAATGAAGAACCAGCACACATGCACTCTGGAATCTGAAGGATTTGTACAGAGGGGCTTTGCTAATCATGTGTGTTGTGAAGCTGGTGCTTGTGTATAGATATCCGTGTGTGTGTGTTCTCAGTCTGAGAAGCAGCACAGACTCTGATAGTCTAGCCCTGCGCAGCCTGAACAAGCAAGGATGCAGCCTTGAGCAAACCTGAGAGGAATGAATCCAGGAAGGAGGACATGTTCTGAGGCCATGCACCTTCTGGAAAAAAACGTTATGGGCAAGCAAGTCTACATTAAAGAAACACTTGGCTCCACCATAGGTTTGTTTTCCACAGTGGCATGACATACGGGACAGATTTTGGCCAGGTGGTAGAAAACATAGGGATCACGACAAAAATAATCCTCGTCTGCAAGCATGTGGTGTAGGTGAGCATTTAAGTCTCCTTATTAAATTACAGTGTCATATAGACATTACATCCTTTAGGCAGTGTCTGTGCTTCAATAGCCAGAAACCAGACATATCTGTTCAGTGACTGATGTGGACTGGAAACCTCACTGCCCTTTCCTCATGCTAGCCCTGCAGGGAGACGCAAACATGAAGAATGCCACGAGCTTCATGCTAATGTGCTGAATATTTAACATAATTAGTCACTGGAGCCCCATCCCTTTCTCCCGCTGAGGTGACCCAGAGACAGATCACAGGATTAATAATATGGTCCCCAGCACTTGCTCCTTGATGCCACTTGACGTTGGCAGGTGTTTTGGAGCCAGGCAGGATCAGCAGGCAGAGGTAAAGACAAGGGGGACAGGCACCGCAGCCTGCAGTAGTGTTGCACCCTGGCTGGGGCTGACTGGCGCATTTGCAGAGCGCCTGGGAAGCGAGGGCCTGCTCCCCACGTCTGAGATCCTGATGAGTTGCCGGCATCTGACACCGAAGCCCGAGAGAACGCAGACAGGTCACTGGCTCAGTGCCATAGGGAGCTCTGCCATGCAACGGAAACCGTGGCTGTAGGAGAAGAATAGTATGTCAAGTGCAAAGCAGCAAGGATGTTTTTCAACCTAAGGACGGATGCAGGTGCATAACCCATTTGCTGCCAGAAACAGCATTATTAGCATAGAAGAAATTGCAGGAATGCATGGAAAGCATAGGACAGCCATAAGCCAGACCTGGCTGTAGTCAGTATGTACGTGCTAGAGCAAGGAGGCTGGCAGCCACACACTCCACATCCCATCGTGTAACCGGGAATGTGTATGTGACACCAAATAGCGCTAACGGGGAGCGGGGCTGGGCACAAGCCCCTGGGACCCATCCTCCTTATGTAAAGCTGTTCCTGGAAAGGAGGCAGGAAAATTTCTGGGCTTATGCTGATATGGTTTATCTCCACTAAGGGACTTTGTCCCATACATGAACCAGAAAAGCCACATGTGCTAGTAGTACAGTGAAAAGAGTGACTCCAACAAAGATACTGAATCAATGTAACATGGAGCTGAAAAACCCTTTCCCCACCATCCCCTTTCCTCTAGGAAACTTCCCCTGTCCCTAAAGCAAGGGCTGTTGCGGAAGCTTTATGGAATCACTGTGTGGGAATTACATGTATCGCTACACTATGTCAGAACTGCAGCCAAGGGCATGCTCAGTACCCAGAGTAGCAAAGGTGCAGACATGTGGATTTCACCACAAGCATCCCAACCCACTGACCCTGCTGGCGATAGCTCCACTGTTACTGGTATCTGAACTTGCTGGTTCATCTCAGCTTGCACATCTTCACCGGGCCATCAGCACAACCAGAAAACCTACATCAGGCCCCACATCTGACCAACACAGATTTAAGGATAGTCCCTAGTACACTGACACAGCAGGGTAGGGCAGGCAGTGCAAAGGGTCAGCGCTCCCAATGGACCCACATTTATTCCAGGTACCTAATAACCAGTAGCTAGGCACAACATATATGCAAACCCTCCCTCCTCCACCACATTGCCCGACATAAAAATATCTAGAGATGACTCCGGTCCCACTCAGACTGACAGAGGCAGCTGCTCTAGCAGAGCTTTTAATCCTAAAGCAGAGCCTGTTGTCACTGGCAGGAAATCTTATTGTGTTGGACAGGCAATCCTAGACCTTAATTAAATAGGTTGCCCTCCCTGCAAAGCCAGACAGACTAGACTGGAGTCAGATGAAGTAAGTTGCTTAAGCCAGGGACCACCTGGCTGTAACTTCATCTAGGTGACAGCATATGCTTTTGTGACCCTCTCTGAAAGGCTGAAGCCCCAAGCAAGCTCCCAGAGGTAAAGTGAGGATTTGTAAAGAGCAAGAAATCAGAGATGCTCTGTTCTGGGAAGGAATTCATTCCTTCTCCTTTCAGAGACTGAAATTTTCTGGCCTTTGCCCTGACCAAAGACGCAGCAGATCATGCTGGTTCAGGATTGATTTTTAAGGGAGCTGGTGGCTCCTCCTCTGCCTCCATTACACACAGTGTAGCAGGGGGTGCTTTGAACCAGACCCTACTAGTAGCTTCTAATACTGAGCACCTCATTTTTCTTTCTCATGCTTACCCTCACACTATCTCTGTGAGATAAGGCACATTACTTTCGCCATACCAGAAAAGAGCAGCCGTGTCGACTCCACGCATTTCCCCTAGTCACGACCCAGCTGCTTGCTTCTGTAGCATCCCACTGCTGTGCAAAGACGTGACCCTGCCGTGAGTGCTCTCAACCCTGTGCAAATATACAGAAAGACAGCATGCTGCTCATCCACCTTGTTTTCTGCATGGAGACAGCATGAGTGCATATGTCAGAAGAGACTGCAGCACCCTACTGCTGAGGCCCTGAGCTGGATGATGGGGATGGAGGAAGAGGAAGGAATAAGGACCCCAGTGCTCACTGTGGGGTATAACTGCCCCTCCGACTAGGCCCAGCCAGAGAAACTGCACAATTCCCAAAGAGCCAGCTAGTCCACTGTGAACCCGGGTGTCAGGTCAAGACTTTGCACTCAAAACCCCTTTTCAGGCTCCAACCATTTCTGACTAACCCTTGGACAGCCTTAGGCACAGTGTGGCCCTCAGCCTCTCCCCCACCTCAGTAAAATTTGGTCACTCACTGGGGTACCAGGATGGGTAGAGGGCAACGGGCAGAGGTAGGTGCCTTGCCGCTGTGTCTGTCCCTTAAGCTCCCCCACAGGACACAGGTATACACCTGTAAACACAGTGCAGCATGCACTGCAGAGGCACCTCAGCAAAAACGCAAAACGGTACAGAGACCAAAGCTTGGGTCTTCAGAGCATACGCTGCCGTTGCAACCTTCTTCCCGGGCTAATCAGCCCTGCTTGCCATTGCCTGGAGCGAACAACGCGCTGCGCTGCTGCTGGGACCCGAGGCTGCTCACACGTGCTACCTCCCCTTAAGCAAAGAGCCTTCCCTCACCACGTTCCCCCCATCACAGAAGTGGCCATGGCCGTTAGTCAGGGAGCACTTCTCAGCTCCAAGGCACTGAGTCTAGGCTGCTGTTCTGTGTTGTGAAGTCCAGTAACCAGGTCATGACCCCATGGTGACATCCGAGTGCCCCGAGTCCCCTGGCTGACAGAGATGCCACGTGCCGCTGAAGTCATGGGCTGACACCGCATGATGTGGTGCAGCTGGAAACGTATGCAAAACACCTTTCTGCTTTCTCCGTCTCCCCCGCTTCTCACTGGAGTGCCTGTAAAGCCAGGAGCAAACACACGACACTGGTGCAGGAATTTTTATTTTTCTGAGAAACACATACTTTACTTCCCAGTGCAACAGAACTTCAGATGCGTAGCAGCGGCTACCAGAAACCTACAGATCGCAGGGAGTACTGCTTTTTGTAGTTTTGCTGTGAGTTTAGCAACTAATGCAAGTTTCTGAGCTGGCAGACCCTGGAGACTGACTGGCTGCATTCACCCTACAAAGCAAGGTAATACTGCGCTGGAAGTTCTCCACAGTAACCTGCTAACCTCCTGTGCGAGGAATGGGATGCTGTGCCCCTGCTTCCCATCCTGACATCCCTTTCAAACCATTTGAGTCATCCCTTCACGCTCTCATTCACCGCACACCTCAACACTCCCCTTGTTCCTCCACATCCCTTCATCTCTGGCCATGCCATTCACCTCTCAGATGAGACTAGGTTTTGGGGAGGGAGAAGGAAAAAGGGGATAGGATAGGCAGAAGCTTACAGATAACCCCTTACATTATTTTTCCTAAGAAAGCAGATTATTTGTCTTGTATACATGAAGCCAGGAAACAATGGTTTATCATGGATATCGCTGAGTGCCTCTACGCTGCCTGGAGTGACTCTTGGCTTCTCATCAAAGCTTTCCCACACATCTTGGGTGGCCAATTGTGAGATGTCCAAAACAGCGCTGGGGAAGCTACTCTAAGATGCATGGCCAGGCCTCCATCATGGTGTTCCTCTATGCGTATGTGCTAACCCTGGAAACCGAACTCCTTGTACTTGCTGGCCATATCATTTCGGAACAGCTCCAGGGCCTTCTTCATTGCAGCCTGGGAATCAGCCCCAAAGTCTGCAGAGTGTTTTTCGGCAATGACCTTGATAATGGCTTCAGAAATGAACTGTGAGGAAGGAAAGAGAGAGAGAAAAACTGAAGGGACACTCGAGGTTTATTTTCAGAAAAGCCAGACTAAGAAATAGGTTGCAGAGCCTGGAAATATCTTCGAGCTAATTCAATAGCCCTTCCCACAGTCTCTGGAGAGACACTGAGGTCTAGCATGCAAGGAACCTGGGCTGGGCAGAAGAACTGGGCTCTATTCCTAGCTCTGACGCTGATCTGCTTCATGACCTTGAGTAGACCATGGCCCTTCCCACTCTTTGTCTGCCTCATCCATTAAGGCTGAAAATTCATGCCCTGTGTTTGTAGAACACTTAGTTTTGTGGGTCTTGGTCTCCAATGGATCCTCCAGGGCTTACTCTAAAACTGTATGTCCCTCGTGTCCAGCCACTGACAGTTCTTATGTAATGTAGTTTCCCAGGCATGCAGAGGCTGCTTGGGCTTGTTTATTATTGTCAAGGGTTGCTCAGACTGCATGTGGTGTTTGGAATGGGAAATCTAAACTTGGATATTCACATACCATTCGCATACCATGAGCCCTTTCTGTGCCTCTTCCTGCCTGTACACAGAGACCTCGGACTTGAGGCAGAGCTCACTGAAGTCCAGCTAGCCATCAGTAAATAAAAGCGCAGCTCTCACACAGCTGTCTTGCACACATTCACTACACATCAGACACCAAGATTCCCTCCCCTTTTCCATACCTCCAGATATTTGACAGGGATTTTGTGCTTGGTCGCATGAGTTTGAGCCAGGGGCTTCAACTCTGACTCATGATTACCCTTCTGCTTCAGGATTTTGCCCAGCTGGGTAAACACAGTAAGTCCATGTTTCTTCAGGTCTTCAGAGCCCTTCATCTGATCAGGAGTCTTCAGGCCTTTGAACTTTTCAAAGCGATCCAAGGTCTCGGGGTGGTCCTGAAAGAGTCTGTGGACAAAAGTAGAGGGACTTGTGAGACTTGAGAGAGGTGTCATCCAGGCCAGAGCTGAGGTCCAGCTGCTCCAGGTATTTCAGAGTATATGGACAGGCAAAGGTGTGATAACCCGCTTCTCTCCCCAAAGAAAGCTCTAAGCTACACCCTGCTAGCAGAGGCTACTTCAACCTGGGAACTCTGACACTTTAGATCCTTTCCAAATTACCACCATTCACAATCACTCCTTTTAGCATGTATATAAGCCAGGGAAGCATCTGACCCTATTCTGAATCTAGTTTAAGTGTTTTTCATCTTTCCTCTGGTAGGTTGTTCCACAACCTGATGACACTCTGTGTGCAGAAGTTTCCTTTTATTTATTTTGTACAGGCTGCTTTTTATCATTAACAAATGATAAAAACCCTCTTGTCTTTGGAGAGCAGAAGGTCCTGACATACCTCCCTTTGAGTATTGTTTCTACTTTAATCCCATTCTCTTACACACGTCCTAACATGATCTCCGCTGTGTTTTTCCATTCCCTCTGGCTGTGACAGAGACACTGCCCTAAACATGTCCAACTAGAGCGACAGAGCAAGTGTCCACAATTTTTTTATATAGCTCTACTAACTCTTTGGCACCAGTTCCTGGGTTATGTCAACTGTATTATGATAGAGACAGGAGCCAAGGCCGGTCATGGTACTGAGAGGTAAATTCTTGCATTCATGTGAAGGAAAAACCAAACCAAACCAAACCAAACCACCTGTCTTCGTTGCCTTACTGTTGCTGAGGAGCCAACCTGTAGACCCCTGGCTCTCACCAGGACCCTCTTCCCAGCCCATCTCTGCATTGACTAAGAAAGGAAAATTCTAGAGGCTTCTCATACACAAGAAAATGGAGCAGCCTCCAGCCTCAGGTCCCTCACATCTGGAGCTCAGGTGTTCTTGAACACCAGCTGGATGGGAGACCTTACTATGCCCCCACCCTATGATTGCAGACTTAGAGGAATTTGGTTCCTGCCCTTTTCTCCCACCCCCCAACTCAACCCAGCTCACTGCCAGCAGCGTAGTTCCTCCACCGGGAACCGTGGCACCTCACAGAGAGTCCTTGGGAGCAAGTGGGTAACAAGAACACGGGGCCTTCAGGCATGCTGGTGCCACGCCATGCAGTGCTATACATAGGCACTCTGATCCCAAAATGGAAATGAAATCAAGAAGGTGGAAGAGTGTCTAAAAGACAGGCTAGTGTTGTCCCCGCTGCTTCCTCCCGGCTGCATTTCCTAGGAGACAGGATGCAAGCACCACAGGCAACCAAACCGGTAGGAAATTTCACTCTTTTCCCTGCCAGACTCCTAGAGTGAAGGTTAAAAGGGGATACTGCTTGTTGCGATTATTAGGAGCAGTCTAATAATTAGGTGTTGAGAGACATCAGCTCCCTTGCACAAGTTTATTTTCAGGTATTATACCCTCTGATGGGCATCATCCAACTAGTTGAAGCACCAGCAAAAGCAATGTCTGTCTTTACAGCCAGGGCCCTACAGCTTACGTCCGTGAAGCGGCTCACCCAAGTTACCTGCAGCAGTGTCTGGAGCTCCAGCCCAGGACCTCAGCCACGAAACCAGCCTCCCTCCCACAGCACAGTGATTGTACGCTTGCTCTGCCCTTGGAGTGTGCTGGTACTGGGACTACCAGGGCTTGCGTTCCATCTAGAACTGGACATTCCTCTTAAGTATGTTGCCATGAGGTCCAGACTCTCCACTGTATGATGTAAGTATAGGTTAAACTACACTAACAAATACCTCAAGCACGTGGAAAACACAAGATGTTCTGCGGCAAAAAGATGCTGTAGATGAGTGACCAGTCTTTGCTGGTGTTTCATTTCAAAGCTCTCCAAGGGATTTCTGTACTCTACCAGGTGCGGAGCACACCACCATCAGCCTTTCCTTTTATCCTGTATCTTTCCATGACAGAGGTTGTGTCCCACCCAGAGAGATGAAAAAACCTTTCACCTTGGAATGGGATGGAGTTATTTCTAAACATTTCCCTCCCTTGTGTCTGGCTATGGCTGAATCATGTCTGCCAAAGATGATATACTCCCAAGACTCTTGAAAATTCTTCCAAGGAATATTTTTTTTTTCCTTTGCAAAACATCCGGTTGAATCAATATTTTCTAAACATATTCCTAGGATGCAACATCTACCTAAGAAGTCTTTAACAATGCATACTGAGACACATTTCTAAACCAAGAGCTGCTGGGCTTCCCCTGCCTCTCTCCTCCCTCAAAAACCCCTTGAAGGAACATGAAATGACCTGGGTTGGCTGGGGAGCACAAAGTCACAGGGGAGAGGGGTGTCACCTATTTATTTAATGGCACGCTCTGCCCTGCAATACCTGTAAGAAAAATGATATTACCATTTCAGTTGGAAACAGCTTTTACAGTCTTGTGGCACTTCCAGAGCCAAAGTAGCCACCTCACAGAGATGGACTGTGGGGAGGGCTCAGGTTCCTGCTGCCCTTCCAGCATGCCCGCTCTGGACCGCATGAGGGGAGAGCCATCACATTGCCACCCGGCTGCCCCCATCTCTCCCTTCCCTTCAAGTGGCAGCTGAACTGGGCTGTGATAAACAAGGTAAATAAAACAGCCCCCTGCTTTGGCTCGTCTTTGAAAAAGCTTTTCAAAGATTTTCAGTGGATTTGCCTGGTGGTGTGGGCTCCTTTCTTTAGCTGTGCTTAGGCTAGGAAACTCCCCAGGAGGATGCCATATCCCCACTGCTCTCCTCAGTGTCCGCACCCTTCCAGCACATCGGACTGCACACAGGCTGAGAGGGAGATCTGGAGAGAGTCTCCTCAAAGTCTCCATCCCTGCTGGTCTTTAAGGACAGGCTAGGATCCAACACCTACCCAATGTTTTTTCCCACCCTGCAGCCCTGAGATCCCTTCCAGATTGATTTTCGGTGACGTGCTGCTGGCCCCCAGGGTGTTCCCCTCTCGGGGGGGCAGGACCGCAAGGACAGCATGGGAGCAGGGGTCGTCTCAGACGGAGACCTTACAAGCAGTCCCACTCTGACACTGGAATCATGAAGGAGGGAAGCAGGGGGAAGGATGCGCCTCGTTTCACACCCAGACCTCAAATTCATCATCAGGAAGTGGACAAGTGTTACCACCCAGATTTCTGGCCAAAAAGCAGGATGGGCAGGGCTCTATCAGGTGAGACTAAAGTCAGGAGAGGGAAACACTCAGGTACTTCACAGTTAAATTTACTGAAATCATAGATTCCAAGAAAATTGTCACAGAGGTGATTTTCCTCTCCGTCCCTGCCTCCCCACATCCTTGCTGCAGAGCATCTGAAGGCCCAGGACACACAATTAGCTCCAGCATTTCTTGCCGTGATGCTTGGGCAATGAGGATGCGAAGCAGAGCTTTGCCAGCAGAGGCAGAGGGAGTGATAAAGTCCCACCATCTTTTGAAAGCAGCACTGGCCGGCTCCTGCACCCATAGACAGATGGAGAGACAGAAGCACAGCCACTTTACACAGTGAGTAATTTTTAACCCAGAAACCATAGCAATGGAAAAACCACCACCTATAACAAAGAAAACAGCCTGTTGAAATAAACACTGCCAAACACAAGCCCCCATACTAGATATACACCTTCCTTGGTCTCTCATCAAAAGCCCTCAGCCTTACTCTTAGGACCGAAGCTTCTTGCCTACCTCATTAAAACTGCATGGCCATGGCCGGCGAGGTCGGACTCCACCTTTCCCCAGATGGCCAGGACTTTCTGCCATTCCTGATCACTGAGCCCCATGGTTCACCGAAGGCAGGTCCCAAGCACTCCCCACAGCCGTTTGCCTTTCCCCAAAGGGTGTCTGGAGAGCTCACCCGTGGGATTTATAGCCCCTGCTCACAGACCTACACCTGTCAATCGTCAGCTGGACCTCTTGCTCTCTTTCAGGCTTGTCTAACCTAATCAGCCTCCCTATTTTTTTCTAGGAAGCTATTTTGGGTCAGGTGCTATTGTGGGTGCCACTGATGGCATCATTTCTGCGTTTCGTATTGGACTGGCACATGTCCCACTCTAGACAGAAAGGGCACTGCCGAAACACAGTGCCAGGAGCCTGCCCCAGGTTCCCAAGGACCCAGAGACAGTGTCAAGCTGTATGGCAGGAGATTCCTGAAGAACACTGTCATCTGCAAGGCCACCCCGCCTCCCTCTCCCCTGGCCTTCCAAGGGCAGGCAGGAGAAAAGGCCAGGACAGCCGGTAGCATCGGCTCCATTGCTCCAAACGCCTTTCCTTTCCCATGCTGATCTCACTCTCCTTTTCCCCTGGGATAACACACACCATTTACTAATAGGGAAGAGCACAGTGTTAGAAGAGACGTGTCCTTGAGAGCTAACCATATTCAAAGTGACCCAGTCTTCTCACCAGCCTCTGCAGGAGGGATGAAGGGGATAAAAGCTATACGAGAGCCAGTTCCCCTGCATCTGCCTGCTGGGATTCTTCTGCCTGCCTCTCCGGGGAACGCCCAGGATTAGCCGCTGGCTGAGCCTGGATATTGGAGCTAACAGACGTACAGCTGAGCCAGGAGGGTGATTTGTAGCAGGCCAGAGACACAAGGACACAGCAGGGCTTCACTCAACATGCACCCAGCCAGCGGTTAAGGTCTCAGGCTACCTCTGTCAAGCCAAATATCAGTATTGGGAGGAAAAGCCACTGGGCTGACAAACAACGTGGGTATGCCCTGGGACATCTCCCAGCCCCGTCCGGACTGGTAACGGCCTGGCACACCAGCGGGGTGATTAGTCCCTTCCAGGGGGTGACTGCAGTCAGACCACAGCCCGATAACAAAGCCCAGCTAGCGCTGCTGTCCCGAAGCATGCACCTACCTCTGGACGCTTCCAAAGGGGCGCACGCCACAGGCCTTGGCAGGCGAAAAATGTCAACCGAGGGCTGAAGACATCTGCCTTGGGGCTCAGGAGAAGAGAACGCAACCCCACGGTCCCTGCCGCAGTACTGCAGAACCTGAGGTGCATCGCTGCCTCTGCACCCATCCAGTCTCTGCAACGTGGGAACAGTCTCCCTGCTCCAGCCTTGCGAGAGGAGAGAAGCGCCCACCTGCAAGGGTAATTGGGCAGCGAGGAGGATGGAGGCACAGAGCCTCGCACCCCTCAGAAACACACAGATTTAAAGGGAATAGTTTGGGTAAGAAGGGTGGCAAAAGCCAAATGGAGGTGTCAGCTGGCATCCAAGCCTAGAGGTAAGGGAATTTCGGCTGTTATATGTTGCGAGCCTCTGTCAGCCAAGGCAACCTGTGACCCTGCAATCTTCCCCTTCCCTATGCACCCATTCGCTTCACATCCCAAAATCCACATCCTAAACACTTCAAGGTTGAGATTTCATCCTGATTTACCCACGCAAACACCAGACCACCACCAATTACCCAGACTAAGCTAAACTGATGGAAGAGAGCTTAGGGCCCCTCCAGCTCATTCCTCATGTTGTTCTCCACAGCGCAGGGCTGAGATGGGAGAGTTCACATACCTGCGACCTCCCTCCCAGAGTACTTATAGCAGTAAACAAGCATTTGCACCATCCCAGGCTCGCCCTTGGGTAGGATCCTGAATACTGACCTTACTGTTTTACACCATGTTTCAGACACGACAGAAATGTGCTCCTGGTACACGAGAGGCTGCTGCTTATGCACCAAGCTCTGTTCATATTCCCCAAGCTGAAACTACTCAGTTGCCGTAATAACTTCATTTGAAGTTGGTCAACTCTCTGCAGCTTTCCCCAGGGCTGTGAAGCCAACAGTCCTGGTATGGACATTAATGTTAAATGGTCAGAAGGCTTAAAAAGAGTATGGGATTCCATATTGCTTTTTTTACAAGTGAAGTAGTAATGAATGAAATCATAAGCTCTTCTCCCTAGAGCTTAAATAAATAGTCTACAGAAATACTAAAAGCTTTATAGCACACCAGACCGCGCCTCAACCCTGCAGCCGGGAAAAGGACGTAACATTTTAGCATCCACAGGCCTCTCCTCTCCCCCTCGGGGCAAAAATCTATCACTTGCATAATCATCTCGATAAACGCAAACTACAGAAAGCCAAACTATCGGCTGTCCCCTTTAAAAACCGCCGGGTGGTTGAATAACCCGTTTCAAAAGTCTGCACCCACACACCTAAGGCGCTCTCGCTAAACGACCATAAAACGTATCGCTAATAGTTTTGGCCACGTTTTGGGGTGCATGCCTGGATGCTGTCGCCTCGGTGCAAAGCCTCCCCCCATCCCCCCGGGGCTGGACCGCGACCACCCGGCGCAGGTACCCCCCAGGGGGTCTCCCTGCCCGGGCAGAAGCCGCCGCAGCAGCCCGGCTCCGTCGGCCAGGGCTTGCTACCATCTAGTGGCCACGGGCGACAAAGCCACGGGGACTGGAGGCCACCTCCAAACCCTTACTTGGAATCTCGGGAAGGTGGGCAACGTGTAAGCCCTCAAATTTCGGAGTGACCCCCCCAGGACGGGCAGGACTGCAGCATCCCAGTGCCGCAGGGCTCTCGCTGCGGTTGGGTGGCAGAGGGCAGAACTTGGGGGTTTTTTTGTAAAAGGGGCTCGTTTTCAGTGAGGGGCATGTAGAGATGGTCGGTTTTCCTCGGAAAGGGCCCTGGGCTGGCTGGGTGGCTTTGCTCCCTGCCTGGCGGCAGGTTGCTGGCATGGGGTGGATGCTGCGCCTTCTGCCCCAGCTTTGGGAACTGGGGAGGGCTGGGGTGGTGGGATCAGGGCAGAGGAAGATCCCCTGGGACAGCAGCAGAGCCACAGCCGAACCTCAGGGTACTGCCAAGGAGGAAGACTGTCCTAGGAGCTTCGTGGGGCTTGTTTCTACCCAAAAATGTTACCAAAAGGTGCTTAGGCAAGGTCCCCCCACCTAACAGGCACAGCAGGCAGGGGAAGAGCCACTTCTGGCAAAACGGTGGATGCAATCTCACCACTGCCTTGCTCCTCCCTCAACGGATGGCAAACCCTTCTGCGCTTCATTAATATAAATTTAGACCATGTCACAATCCCGCGAATGGAAAAGCCTCTCGTTTTCCCCATTTATGAGGGATCAGGGAAGTTCTATGACTTGCTTGAGCCCACAGACGCACCAGTAAAAGAGCAAGGACTGGCTCTTGGGTATGGTTTTAGAAACACCAGCTGTTTGGTGGTTATTAATACAGGGCACAGCTGACCAGGTGGAGCTGGGAGGCACGGTAGGAATCGCACACCAGCCACAGGGTCCCCGCTCTGAGTCTGTTTGGCCAGATTCAATTTTTTTATTAGAGTATTGCTGTTGTGAAGAGAGAAATCCAGCCCCGGCCTGTAAAGTGAATATCGGAGAGCCCAGCAGTCCCCCACATTGCCTTGGCGGTTGATATAACAAATCACCAATGATTTCTAGCCTTGTCTTCTCTGCAGCCAGACCTGCTGCAAGTAGGGAAATGCGTACCCAAGAGAGAGGCACTAGCAGAAATCATAGGTTGTTTTTTCATTTGAACTCAGTTCGTGAAATAAACTTTCTAGCAAGGAGAGAGATATGCTCCAAAACGCAGTCCATTTTCCTCAAGAAACAACCCAAACCATCTTGTGTGCTTACACAGCAAACCAGCTCAGAGGGACAAACAGATTTTTTGACCAAATACTTTTTTTCTTTTCAATCAGCCCTTTCTCCCACAATACAATTTTAAAAAAAAACCCAAACCCTGAGAGCAGCCGAGGGTCCTGTGGCTGGGCGCAGCTCTGCCGTGACCCTGGGTTGTATAAAGCGTGGTGTGATGTAAGCGTGGTACACGCTGCTGTGCCAGGGGAGCACTCGGGGGGGGAGGCTGGCTCTCCAAAAAAGCCAGGAATATTATATAATGCCAACTTACATAATTGCCTATTGCATAATGCTGGGGAAAAGGCCCTTCATAATGCAGCTGTGGTTTCTATGGCGTTTTGCTGATACATGGCTACTTCTAAGAGAATCATTTGCACTTTCTTTCAGCAGCCTGCAGCTCAGTCTGCAGACAGACAGGTGAGACCCCGTGCTCCCAGCAGCATTAGCTGGAGAGGTAAGGGCGATGATAGTAACGGGATCTTATAGCCAGAGCAAGGCAAGAGCATTGGGTTTTCTGCAGCTGTGCCATTGACTTCAGTATTCGGAGGATCAGAAGACTGTCAGATAAGAGCACCATATGAAGCTGCAGGCGTTGCATAGCCTCTGCCGCTTGTAGGAAACAAGGTGGAGTCTAATTAGCCGGTGGTGGCAGTGGCCAAATCCCTTCCAGGCTCACTCCTCTCTTCCCCTCGCTCTTAAACACTATTCTTAGCAGTGCCTCGAGGCAGGGCTCCGGCACACTGACGGATTTCAGCAGCTGAGAGGTGACCTGAGCTGCTTGCTTAAAAAGAAGAGGAAGGATTAGGAGGAGGAGATTTCAGCATCAGGACAAGACTTAGGCTGTGAGTTTGCAGAGCTGTGCAGTATCTCAGCATGGATTCTTTTAGAGATCGTGCTCTGTGCCATAGAGTCAGAGGTAACTTTACATTCGCTTCAGTGCTCACAGGATCCAGCCTTTGGTGACTATCAGACAGGCAACTGTATGACTCAGTCATTTTCTTTTTCCAGAAGGTGCACAGGATAATGCAGGCATGACCCACAGCTCCCATGCAATCATCAAGGCATCTCACGGTATATGTGACACTGCACAGCACATGGACAAAACATTTATCTGGGCTATGCAGGACACTTATTGCAGACCAGTACTGGGATTCAGTGGGAGAACAAGCAGGAAAGCAGCAGGGCAGTCCAGGACCAGAATATTTAGGCTCCAATATAGAAGCTGAGGCTGTC